AAAAAGAAAGTGTAGTAGTTGCATAAGAGCGCAGATACATATGTATATACATGTACATATGTACTTATACATACATATACTTAAATAAGTACCCAGTCAACCAGCGGAGTCTGCAAGCTGCACAATTCTGCCAGAGAAGCTCCGAAAAGAGTCCCAAAATAGCATGTTCGCCGTAGCAAAGGGCCATCTGAAGATATATGAAAAAAGTGTGCCTATAGAACTGCTTCAATGAGGGATTTCGGAAGCCCAAAAAGCTCACTCAGATATCCCACAACGACTTCGTGCGTAGTTCTCTATTCGTCTGGGATTGTTTTTGGAAATAACTCTTTAAATCATCCGAGGATACTCTACACGGATTGTTTTCCACGCTCCGATAAAGGTCTGAGGTGGAGGATTTACTGTTTCTCAAAATGCACCTAATTTTATTTATAAGGCAGGCCTGCGATCGTTTCCCCCTTAAAGTACTAAGACCATTTTGGGTAGTTGTTAGGTACTATGTTAAGAAAAAAATAATAAAAAAATTCGAGTTTCCATAAACCTTTCATAATTACTTAATCTCTTAAGGGGTATTTTTGGAGCCCTAGAAAGCATCAAGCCCATTTTTGTGACCTTCAACTGTATTGAATCGTACTTCCGTAGGGTTGTTCTGCATCGACCTGAACAAATGGTAGTCTGATGATGCAAGGCGGGTGGGATATGTCTTCCCATCAGGTAGCAAAGTTTCCCATCAGGTAGGTAAGTTTCAACCTCTTGTGCGACCGAGCGACCGCGCATTGTCATGGTGGAAGTTTAATGACATGTCTGGTCCCCCATTCTTGTCGTTTCTCCGCAATCGCTCGCTTCATTCTCATAAGCTGTTGTTTGTAAAGTTATCCGTCTATGGTCTGAACACTTTTCAGTAGCTCATGATACAGAGTTCCCTTCCGGGCCCACCAAATGCAGAACATTACTTTTCTGACAAGGACATTTGGTTTTGGCGTCGGTAATCGCAAATGTCTTGTTGAGTCACGTCTAATATTGACACAACTTTATCTTGAGTTTGTCTTCGTACAAAATTGCTTCCAATTCGGAGTCTACAAACGGGGATGGCCTTCCTTCGCGCTTCTTGCCGGTTGCGTCAAAATCACCACTTTTAAAATGTCGGAACCAGTACTCAAAGTTTGAAATTGATGCAGCCTTACGCAGGTAAAGGATGTCTTTCTGGAATGGAGCTTTCGTAGGCTCAAAAGGTGAAATAAATTTTAGTCGTCGCACGAAAAAGGAAGAGTTTTATACTTTGATGAAATGATACATACTGTAAAATTTGATTAAATTATGATACTTTAACAAGAAGTTGGCTGCAAAATTGTCCGTTATGTTTAAACACTACTAATGCACTCTTTTCACAAGGGGGAAAATGAGTAAGTGTTATAATTTTTGCTCTTTTTAAAAAAAATGTTTTATCAAAACGGCTCATTAGTTAAATAAATAAAAAGAATTTGTTATCCTTTTTTGAGAGACATTTCTTTGAGATTTGGAATCACTTTGCGCTTAGCTCGATTAAATTCTTTGGTGGCGCCAAACATTTTCTATGTAATGCGCCTGCAAAAAATCTAAAGCAAACAAGTATTTTTTTTTGCGTTATTGTTTACCTCTTAATGTTTTCGCAACTCCCATAAACTCAACAGCCCTTTTTAACCGACTTCAAAAAGAGGAAAAAGTTATCAATTCGTCGGTCATGCAGACGCTATTGGGAGTTTCTTTTCTTTACAAGTTTCTATTTCAATATCCTCGTACAAAAATTACTTACAATAAACTTTTTTTCTGCACTTCGCAGATTCTTTTTCGTATTCAGGACAAATAAAATAAAGGACGAAATTTTATATTATCATTTTGATGTTATGACTGATCGACTGTAAACAAATAAGTAAATATGTAATGTTAAATAAAATAAGTAAATAAATAAAAATATAAAAATATAAAAAATCGAAAAAATCTTTTTTTTTTATTGATAGCTATCAACTATAAACTATAGTTTATGTCCCAGAGTAGTTAGCTACAAGTAAGTTGGCATCTAATGCAGAGGAAACTAGTTCTCACTATTTTGCGGCCATAGCCCTTCAAAAGTACCACGACTGCTAGTTAGTTAATAGTTAGCTACAAACTAGTCCCACTTCCTGCAGGGAATATACAAAAAAAACACTTTCGACTCTCTTTTCACTCCATATTCAGAGCGCTCCGCATTTGTCTGGCTGGGTAGTTTGCTGAACATCCTCAAGGATGAGTGACATTGTTCATGATTTTTATTTTATTTTTATTTGCTTCGTGCTTGTGTATACGAGTATTTGCGGTTTTTATTAAGAATTATGAAATTTTGTTTTTGTCCGCCGTTATTATCGCAATGTTTGCAATTCTGTGGTTACGTATCAATTTTCCATTCTCAGCTGTCTATTGTACACTAGTTTTACATTTGTTAAATTCCACACGTATTTAGTTGTTTTTTTTTCAAATCGATTCGCAATCGTCATGCCATACTAATTTCCATATGTTGACCACCCCTCCACCCATTAGGTTGAAGAAGCATTTAGCTTGAACGCGGTTCCAGCTTATTTGGAGAAATCGAACTCACAAATTAATGATTTGGTACAACTGGTGCGCACAGATCTTGCCACGGGCACACGGCTAACCATCGAGGCTCTGATTGTACTCGACGTGCATGGTGGGTTGGCAGAAATATAGTTTTTGCATAAAAACTTACAAAAGAGCACAAGATCTGCATATAAATTTTCTCCTCGCAATTCTAGCTCGCGATGTTGTCAAATATCTAATTGATGTCAATGTTGAAAATATCACTGAATTCGATTGGATATCTCAATTACGTTACTATTGGCGAGAAACTGACAGTAATTACGCAATAATTAAAATATTCTGCACTTATTTTTTTTTATGTAATTGACGATTTTTGCAGAGGGTGAGGAATGGGTCTGCGTGAGCATGGTTGTTACGGATGTTAAATATGGCATGGAATATTTGGGCAATAATCCACGTTTGGTTGTAACGCCGCTTACCGATCGCTGTTACAGGTAAGTTAATGCTTCTCATAAAGTGTATTTAGACTATATTCGTTAATATCGCAATACAGTATTTGGGGATTTTCAACATTTCAACATTTTAATATGGGTAGCGAAAGTTGAAGGCCTTCACTTTGTGCCACTCCATACAGAAAAAAAGCTGAAAGGTATGCAGAGTGGAAGACCTCATGACTCTCCGGTAGGCCTTTTGGAAGGGCTTTCAGCCGCTTAAAAATATATACAGAGTAGTTAAGTAAACCCAATTTTACTGGCTACCTTTATTAAACGTAATACGAATTATTAACACTTAAACCTTGAATGCCTTCAAGTATCCTTGTCTATTCGAAGGTTCGTACAGCAAAAAAACTGTATACAAAAATTTATTCCGCGATTGGCTTTTAACGCAAAACGTAGATATACAGCAGCAATGGAGTACAAAGAAAATAAGAAAAGGTGGAATAGAAAAGAAATTATAATAGTAAAAACCATTTAGTCACATCCAGTTGCTCTCCACCCACACAAAGTAATGCAACCAAAAACCTTTTTTAATGGCTTTATAGATAACGCTTTTATATTAAACCATATAAATCATTGTTTGATGGTAAAAACAAGCAGTGAAGCGCACACTCACACAAACATATTTGCATAGCACGTGTATGTGAAACGATCTTCAATATAAAAAATTGTGCTATGGGTGCCTTGAAAGAAAAAAACAATTCGAATGTACAGCCAGATATGAAAATTCATGGACAGTCAACTCTGAATGTTGGGCGAGTTTTTTTTTTTTTACTTTCACCGTGTTAGCCAAAGGCAATTGTTGTTGTACTACTTCATTTATACTTTAAACTTACACCGGCTAAACGCTTCCAGTGTATTGTACTTAACACAAAATAGCTGACTAAACATGTTTGCGCGTTTTTTTTTCAGAACGCTTATGGGCGCATTGAAATTATGCTTGGGCGGCGCTCCGGAAGGACCAGCAGGCACAGGCAAAACGGAGACGTGCAAAG